TTTATCAGTTTATATATATATATATATATATATATATATATATATATATATATATATATATATTATTTTTTTATTAACAAAATATTTTAGTTTGTCTTGTATATATTTTTTTCATTCGATCAGATAAGATTTTAAGCTGTCCATATGGTCAAGTTACAACGTGCCCCTCAAATGTTACAATGTGTTCCACCTACGGGACATGTTGTCACATTTCACTTCCATTTTTTGAGGGTAAATAAAGAAAAACTTATACACTGTAATTATGAAACAAAGCGACATATTTGTATTAGACAAGTGTAAAATTACTGTGGATAAAAAAAATATATATATTCTGAACCCCATGTGGATTTACACAAACTGAGAAAGTCAAAAAGTGTTACTTTGTGCCCCGCTCTCCCCTACCTCTGTAAATAAATACAATATAAATTCACGTCTCTCGCACTTTAATGCCCTTTGAATGTAATGTGTACGTTCCCTTGGAACTGGAATCATGGCGGAATTTCATGTTAAGTCTACTTCGCAGGGCACTTACGGTCGAATAAGACAACGCGTGAATGCTGCCTGAACAAGAAACCTCCTTACTGAAGGGAAAGTGTTGACTGGTGTCACTATCTCGCGAACGCGCCGGCGGATCTCCACCAAATTCGGGGGATCCCTTCAGCTCGAGGAGCCCTCTCGAACGCCACCCTCCGCGCGTCGGTAGCCCCCCGGGATCGCTAGATCGGTCGGCGCAGGAACGCGAATTTAACCAATCAAAACTCCCGAACCCCGGGGGCTATCGACACGGCGGGGGTCTCATTCGAAAGAGGGCCTCTAGACAGACGTACACTCGATTCGTGTTCGAGAGGGTTCCTCAAGCTGAAGGGATACCCCGAATTTGGTGCGGAATCGCCACGCCATTACGGAGATAGGGCCGTTCAAAGTTTCAATGGTTTTCCATAGACTTAAGCTTTAAAGCGTTTCATCCAGGTCGCCAGTAGCAAACAATGGAGCGCGCTCTGCTGGACAAACAATGTAATTACACCATTTCAAGCATTTTATCTGCGTTATATGTTCTGTAAAAAAAAATGTCATATCGGCAAAACGATATATCGGTCGGGCTCTGATCAAAACCATCTGAATTATCAGTTTATTAT